GATCACCACCTCTCACAGAGGCCAACCAGCTGGCTCCAGACAGTTGACAAGCATACCATGAAGGCAAAAGGCTTCCCATTCTGCTGCTCCATATCCAGGAACCTATGTAGTCTACGGAGCAAAACACCAGGTTGGGATGCAGAAAAAAACCCTTTTCAATATACTAGAGTTCTGACACAGTCCAACCACTAGCTTCACAGAAGTTGCTGTCAACAGTTTAAAAGAACACAGAACAATCTAGTTCTAGGTCACCTACACCACACTTTGTTGTGTCCTTTGTCATTTTATTCATGAAGGCTTTCACGGCCGGGATCCAATGGTTGTTGTGGGTTTTTCGGGCTCTTTGGCCGTGTTCTGAAGGTTGTTCTTCCTAATGTTTTGCCAGGCTCTGTGGCCGGCATCTTCAGAGGACAGAACTCTGTGCTCTGGTGTACTTGGCTTGGGAGTGCAGTATTTATGGCTGTGAGATAGGCTTTTGTCTTTTTCTGTAGATGGGTGATTAATGTGTCTTGTTGTGGGGGTATTGTTGTGCTAAGGAGAAGAGATTATCTGTCACTATGGGTGATGGGTGTCATTAGCTGGTCTTTTGTGTGTCGTGATCCCCTGTCCTTGTGGCTGGGGAGAGTTGGTTGACCTTTTACACACTGTATTTTTGGCTTCCAGCTCTCAAAAATATAGCATGCAAAAGGTCAATTATGCAAATTGTTAAAGACAGTGTCCCAGGGAGGCAGAGGGCCACCATCATCTTTGTGGATCTGGTATAACAGTGCCATTTGTGAGGTGCTACACAGCTATGTATCATCCTGCATTCTGGGTACAGGACAGAATGTATGTGAATAACAATAAATAAGGATTTTAAAAAGCAGAAAAGAGAGGCAGAGCTGCAATCAGCATGATCAGGAGAATGACAGTCACCAAGAATTGCTGGAAGAGAAAGAATAAGTCACTTCTTTCCTTCCATCCAATCTGTCAGCCTTTTTGTACTACAGAAACTCTCTTACAAAAGCTTTCTTCTTGTTATTGAGACATTTACTGGGAGGTATTACATCCTGAAACAAACTACAATGGACAGGCCCATGAAGGTGAAAGTGTTCTCATGCCAAGGGGACATTTCCTGGATCAGATTGGCACTACGTCCTTCTAAGGCACACAGTTCACTTTGTTGATAGTGCTGTCTGAACTGATGTGGATGCTTCTCAACGCTGCAGCTAATGTTCTGGAATAAAATTACTGACAAATCACTTCACAGCATTTGTGGTTCAGCTTCCTCATTGGTTTAGCTGCCTTAATAGTCTTTGAGTAGATGCCATATGAACACAAAATATTAGTGTGATTAACCACCTCTAAAATTGCTTTAGGATACAGATAGCAGGGAAGTGAGAAAGCTCCGTTTGGGAAGGCGTAAAGCCCGCCAGCCTGGCAGTTGGTACCTGCAATGTGGCTACTGGAAAGTGGCAAGCCTATCGGCAGCTGCATTATTAAACCTTAATCAAGTTACATCGAGTGGGCGACAGCTATTCAATAGAGCTCCAGCAACTGCAATCTCACAAGGCTTTGCAGAAAATAAATCAGCACTCATTTCATGCACACAACTGGCCTCAAAGAGAGGGTACAGGAAAATTAGTGCAATTAATATCACAGAATTAATGTGTCAAAGGCAAAAAAATGAGGCATTGCAGCTGGAGGCATCAAAATACATGGCTTTAAAAAAAAGGAGGGAGCAAGAGCAGACACATGCTTACTTTCAGAAAATTAAGATTTAGCAACCATGGAATACAGGATTGGTCCCCTCATATCATAGAGTCTGTAGCAGGCAATGTGCCTTCCTGTCCCAGATCTTTAGTGACCATGTTCTCTCTTCTTTGATAAGAAATAGTAAGATAAGGCAGCTTCGTCATTGATCTCTGGGGACATCAATGGGGAGCTGCCGCCGCCAATCAGTGCATGGAACAGTTATAGATGAACCAATAGTCTTACTCAATATAGGGCAGTTTCTTCAATTAATTGTAGTGGAAAGCAGAGGGCTTTCTAACTACAGTGGTGCCTTGCATTACGACGTTAATTCGTTCCAGCGAAATCGCTGTAGAATGAAAACGTCGTAATGTGAAATTAAAAAGCCCATAGAAACGCATTAAAACCCAATTAATGTGTTCCTATGGACTTGAAACTCACCGTCCAGCGAAGATCCTCCATAGCGCAGCCATTTTCGCTGCCTTTGCAGCGAGGAATCCGTCCCAGAACACAGCGGGGAGCCATTTTTTCTAACCCGGTGGCCATTTTGAAACCGCTGATCAGCTGTTTAAAAATCGTCGTTTTGCGAGAATCGGTTCCCAAAGCAGGGAACTGATCATCGCAAAGCGAAAAAAACCCATTCAGACCATCGCAAAAAGATCGTCGTAATGCGGTTTCGCCTGTCTTGCGAGGGACGTGGGGACGTGGTGGTGCTGTGGGCTAAACTGCAGAAGCTTGTGCTGCAGGGGCAGAAGACCAAGCAGTCGTAAAATTGAATCCACGCGATGGAGTGAGCTCCTGTCGCTTTGTCCCAGCCCCTGCCTACCTAGCGGTTCAAAAGCATGCAAATGCAAGTAGATTAATAGGGGCCACCTTGGTGGGAAGGTAACAGCGTTCCGTGTCTAAGTCGCACTGGCCATGTCGCCACGGAAGGTTGTCTTCGGACAAAACGCTGGCTCTATGGCTTGGAAACGGGGATGAGCACCGCCCCCTAGAGTCGAACACGACTGGACAAAAAATTGTCAAGGGGAACCTTAACCTTTACCTTTACCTGTCTTGCGAGGCACCACTGTATTTGCAAGACACAACACCATCAACATGGTTTCTTCAACCAGGTGCCCTCCAGATCTTTTGGCCAGCTCCCAGCATCCCTGCTCCTTAGCCCCAGAGTCATAGTCCATAACATTTAGAACGCACCAGGTTGGCAGAAGCTGCCATCAATCATGCTAGGCATCCATGCAGTGTAGTTCAGTGCTGAAGGCTCCGATTCCAATGCTACGTCTGCAATGAAGTTACCATGCATGACAGTAACTTATGAATTCAAAAGAGATCTGATTAGTCATCCATATTTTCTCCATGCTTGGGCTATTTCACGCACATTTTGTACAAATGCACAAATGTGTTTTATGAAATAGGAACCAACAACACAGGAGAATTAGGATAGCTTCCACATCACAAAATGCAATGGAAAAGGAGGAAAAGTAAGCCATGTGCTTTTCCCATTCTTTGTAATATATAATGTGAATGGGTGGGCCAGATGATTTGATTCTTTTGGAAGAATAAATTAATATGGCCACTTGGGCTCTCAGACGGGGTGGGGGAGACATGCAGCTTCTCCATGTTTAAAGGAGATGCTTTTTGCTTCATGTGGCACAGCCTCAATTGGGGGATTCAGAATGAATCAAAAGTTGGGGGATTCAGAATGATGGGATCAGGAGGATCTAAGACAGTCTCAGATAGTTGTAGGAAAACAAAGTAGTATTTATATTACACCATTTCAGAAGCAAGCAAGAGAATATGGTAAAGACGACCTGTGCTAGGCTCCAAAGAGTCTGGAAATTGTTTCGTCTAGAACAGATGGGCACTATTTCTTAATAAGACTCAAATCCAGGACCAGATAATAGCTTCTCCCAGTGACTATAGTTAAAAATGAGTTAGGAGGAGTCTAATTTTTGGATTTGGCATTATAGTCACTGGTTTGGACCCATACTGCCATGCTAGTCTACTCATATTTGCTGCAGTTAGATTTTCCCTTCAGAACTGTTATGCTACCTCCAGCCAAACTCTGTGGACACAATTAGCTCTAAGATCCCTGGGACTGACTCCCAAAAGGCATGTTTTGAACTGGGACACTAAGCTGTTAAAGACATCCCTGGGCTATCCTGTGTCACTAGTCCCTGCTAAATCAGGGGTGGAGAATGATCAACCCTCCAGCTGTTGCTGGACTATAAATCCAATCAAAGCTATGCAGCACAGCTCATTGTGAGGGAAGGGAGAAGCTGTAACCCAGAGACATGTTTGTTGGGCCACATGTTCTCCACTTCTGCCCCAGGAAATAGGGGCATAATACACATAAATATCTGGCAAGGCTAACTACACTCAGCATTTGGAATAAAGGAAAGGAAAACCAGGATTACGTAAATGAACTTTGATTATCAAAGGAGGAAACAGAAAGAAGATTAGCAAAGACATCTCCACGCACAACTGGCTATCTGAAAGTACTGAAGGGAATAAATGGTAAATTAAGTTTCCAACAAAAGCAATAAATAAAAAAATGTCCCTACTTTATGTCACCTTGGACTGGGGGGAAAAATCAGAACACAGTAATTCATCAAATACAATTGCTTTTTAATGAAATACTTAATATTTAATAAGCAGCCCAATAACATTGTTGTTACAGAAATCAGTTGCCATTAGCAACCTTTTGGGTACATCCATATTGCTCACCGAGCCTCTCACGTCCTGTTAAACTCAATATAATGTGACAAAGCCATCTCTTTTCTATTAGAAAGTGGGAGCTACTAGATAATAAATTCATTCCAATCCTTTCACTAAAAACGAGTTCACACAAGGCATTTTTGCATTGAGCTCTGGCAGAATAGTCATTCAGCAAGGAGGAAGTCTCATATACCACGCTCCTCAGCACACACCTTTCAGAAGTGTGCTGAGCCCAGGCGCTGGCTATTAGCTGCATTTATGCCTTCACTTCCCTAATTTCAGAGTGGAGAGATAAGAGACGGCTTCATTGGCTGCTCCTCTTCCCTGTTACAGGCTTTATGATTAAGGTGAGCTTTCAGTCTCTGTCAGAATATGGAAAAGCTGAGGTGTTGGCTGACATCAAGAGCTTATTTCAGGCACCAGACCAAGCGCATATCAAAGTTTTTTTCCCTTCTGAAAGAGAAAACAGAGAAGCATGTCATTTGAAAAAGAAAAAAAATTACATGTTTATTTTAAAAGGAGGAGAACTGTTTGTAAAAAATCATACCCAACCTGGCAAGACAAGAAAGTTCCCCTCTGGCTGCTGCACCCATTTAAACCATGGGGATTATTTATTTGCAATAGCAGAGAGCTGGTCTCGAATCCTTCCCAGACCTTCTAGCATCGTATCCAATGTTTGTTTATTCAGCTCAACTGTCAAGGTAGAGGTTGCAAAGTCATTCCCACACAAGGCAGGGTCTTCCTGAATCTGGAAAGGGTGAGAAAAAGACAAAGCTCGCCATCATCCCAATAATGCTACCCATTCCACCCCTAAAGTTCTATTCAGCAAAAGCAAAGTATAACTCTACCATTGGTCAATTATGGGTAGCTTCAGCCTGTAATTCAGTTCTTTCTGCTTAAAAGTAAATTACCAAGCTCTAGGGAGGAAAAAAGTAAACACATCTCTGCATGCCCGCCCTTAATGGTAGCTCTTTGAAGCTTTTTTTGGGGGGGGGCAGGGTAAACAATTTGGAGACAAAGAAACTTCTGTTTTCATTTTAGGAAATGGAAAAGGACCAAAACAGCTTATATGAGTATCGTGAGCACTACACAAACCTGAACACATTCATCTAATCTAATTTCAGAAACTAAGCAGGTAATCACAGAGGTCACCAGGTAGGGCTAAGAAAGAATCATGTCTGAAATCCTGAAGAGTGGCTGGCACACAGACTTTACAATATTAGTCTAGCTCAGTGGTTCCCAACCTTGAGTAACCCAGGTGTTCCTGAACGGCAGTTCCCAGAAGCTTTCACCACTTGCTATGCTGGCTGGGGATTTTGGGAACTGCAATCCAAGAACACCTGGGTTACCCAAGGTTGGGAATCACTGTTCTAGAGCAGCCATTTTCAACCTTTTTTTGGCCATGTCTGTAAACACAATATGAAAGAAAGGGGGGGGAGCCACTGGTTTGTATTAAACTGGGGTCTGACTCAGTACAAGGCACATTATAGGACAATCCTATGGACTCAGACAATGAACAATACCTTTAGCTGTAGCAAGCAAGTAGGGACAGCCATTCTGCTGATACTGTCTGAGGCGGTCTTAACATCTACTCTCCAATCCACATCCAATAGCCGGGGCAGGGAAACTAGAATTAAAATAACAAACTCATGGAATTTAGTCATTTAAATTTAATTTACATACCATCCCATTAGTGTAAGCCAGGAGTCTCCAAACATTTGAGTGTGAGGGCCACATTGTGTATTTTCAACATTTTTAGGGCTGAAGGAACATGTGCGCATGCGTATATGCATGCAGGTCCCCATGCAAAGATGCACACATGCACACATCCCTGACCACCCATCCACCCACCCCCGCATGCACGGGCTGAAGGGAAAGGGCCAGATAAAACAGCAAGGTGGCCCAGGTCTCCAAACATTTGCGTGTGAGGGCCACATTGTGTATTTTCAACATTTTTAGGGCTGAAGGAACATGTGCGCATGCGTATATGCATGCAGGTCCCCATGCAAAGATGCACACATGCACACATCCCTGACCACCCATCCACCCACCCCCGCATGCACGGGCTGAAGGGAAAGGGCCAGATAAAACAGCAAGGTGGCCCAGATGTGGCCCGCGGGATGTAGTTTGGACACCTCTGGTGTAAGGACCACTCGGGCTGGTGTTTACAGGTTAAATATAAAATCCCACAATAAAAATACATTCAACAATATAGTGATTCATAAATATAGGCCTAAAAGTCATATAAAAAAGGATAGAAAATTAAAATTAACAGCATCCAGGAGAATCAGCTGTTGAAGGCGGTTTTGAAGAATCCTGTTTTCACCGATTTCCTAAGCAGAAGGAAGGAAGGAGCCTGTCAAATCTCGGTAACTTTTTCCAAAGATTTGGGGCCATCACCAAAAGGGTGAGGGCCCAATTCCTTATTGGTGCCTTTTGGTCCTCCCTTGGTGTAACCACTTTTAGCAACAAGGACTGAGAGGATGAAATGGATAGCTGATTTTTTAAAGAGATGTTCCAAGAAGTATCCAGGTCATACCTGTTATAGCATCCTGATTTGAGCATGGAAACGGACAGCAAGTCAATGAACGTGTGCCAAGACTGGGGATATATGACTGAACTTATTAGTCCATGACATAAATTTGGCCACTGCATTTTGAACCTACTGAAGTTTCCATACTATTTTCAAGGGCAGCCCTACATAGAGAGCATTACAGTAGTCTATATTTGAGATTACCAATGTATAAGCCACTATTACTAAGCGTTTCCTATGCATGCAGGGGCGCAAATGGGCAATCAACTGGAGTTGATAAAATAATTTTGGAACCTCTATAAAGAGTGTTGGGTCCAGCAGTATCCCCACACTGCAAACTTGAATCTTTAGAGGGAGTGTAACCCCATCAAGGCCAGGTAAGTTTCACTCTAGCCAGTCCAATTATCCTCCTAACAATAGGATCTCTATCTTATCTGAATTCAGTTTCAGTTTATTGGCCCACATCGCATCAGTTATGAAAAATCATACTAGGGCTTATTTTCAGGTTAGGTCTTATCTTAGGGGAAACAGGGTAGTTTTCTTAAGAACTGACTTTATTATAGTTTCTTTTAAGCAGGAGGGCACACAGCCTTCCTGGGCAAAAATCACTAATGAATTAACAAGCACGCTGACACTTTCAGATGACTATCTCTGAACAACACGGGCCAATAAGCAGTTCCTGAACATTTCAAGGGAAGAATCTCTTTTAGGAAGCCTAATTTTTGGTTCAACTGTGTCAGAGTTTTCTTTATAACCATGCATGAAACAAAATGCCATGTTTTGTTTCTATCAGATTACCAGTACTAACTGACTGGTAATCTGATAGAGAATTTCTGATATAAATCCAGTATTTTTGTGATCCTCTCCTTAGGTAAACCAAATGGACTGGATTTCAGAGCCTCTCTACCGGGAATCACAAAGGGGGGGGGGGATCTGATACCAGCACTAAAAGTCAGTGTTTGTCCTCAGTGTTAACCCAAAAGGCCCAGCTGCAAGCATCACTTCCCTTAAATCAGGGTAGGAAAACCATCCAAAGGAAAGACCTTGAGTGCAATCCTTTTTTACCAGCTTAAAAAGGGACACTGATGTTGCATACGTGCATGGGATATCAAGTGCTGATGCCTCATCCATTTCTCCAGAGCCCAAGGGCCCCTTCTACTTGACATACATCTCCCAGAGACCAGCCTGACCTTTGTTCTCACAGACCAGAACTAATGAATTCTGATTTGAGAAAGCAGCAACACTGCAAACGCTTACAAACCAAGATATTTCTTATGGGATACAAACCCAGGCATACTTATTAAGGAGGAAGTCACACTGAGCTCACTAGGCCTTGCTTCCAGACAACCATCCAGCTCCTATTTGTATACACAACCAAACACTATTGTGGAAGAGAAGCTGTAGATTTTAATATTTGTTCTTATTCTAAAACAAGATAACAAAATGCCTGTCTTCACTGTTTGTAGTTTCCCTCTCATTCACCCTTCTTTTGTAGTTCAGTTATCTGCAGCATTTTGCTCTTCTGCAGTACTGAAATCTCTTTTTGGCAATGCGATTTGAAAATTAAATGGAAAGACAACAGAAAGTTTGTATCTCAGATGTAATGACTTAGCCCTGAACCTACCTGGTATCCCTAAATAAAATATACCCACTGAACCAATGGAGTTTGTATAATTGTTGATTCACCTTTGAGCAGTTTGATTCAATGAGTCTAATTCAGTTGACACAAAATACCTATTATTCTGACCACCACAGACTAATATAATTATCCCAGATTTTGGAATCTATCAAACTCTCCTATGAAAGGATGAATGCATAATAAAACATGGGGGAAAGAGATTTTCTGAATTAATAACTGCACTCAGAAGGGACAAGACAATGATCATGACTTTCTCAAAAAAAAAACACAACCCTCTCAGGTCTGTGGTTTTTGCTAGTCTTTCCAAAATACCACCTCATGCATAGCAATGTGCAGCGCCTCCAATGACGCATGGCACCTTGCTTTCTCTATTGTCTTCAAACTTTATGACTGTAACCTTTTTTGGGGAGAATCAACTAAGAAAGGGGGGGGGAAGCCCGGCTGGATCAAATCAAAAGCCTAGTTTATCCAGCATACCGTTTTCCACCATGGACACCCAGATGCCTACAGGAAGCTCAAAAAGAGAATGTGAAGGCATAATGCCTGGAGTCCCCATATCCCCGTTATTACTAAAAGTCATTCTTAATCTCCCAGCGAGCATGACCAATGCTGAAAAATAACTTTCCCAAGCTTCTAAATTCTCAACAAACAGCAATGGCCTAAGTTCTGACGTACAATATGGAAGAAAAAAAATCTCTACCCATACCATTCCTCTTTCAACACACCATCAGAGATGTGCAGGCCCACCAAAGAAAAATGGTGTGGAATAATTTCTGGTCCCCATTTTCAGCACCTTCTCCAGCTCTTCTATTCCACCCCTGCGAACACGAACACACACACACACACACTAGATCTAGAAACTCTGCACTGCATAAAAATAATCTACATACTTTTACTCTGGTAAAAGTAACTGAAGAAGGTGGAAACTGAAAATTTTTGCTTTAATACTTCTATTTATACATCACTCTTCTAAGTGTATGTACATATATTGAATCCACGCATAGCCACATACATATTTTAGTTCTATACCGCTCTCCATGTGAAGACATGCCCTGTGCCAAATCTCCATATCCTCTTTTACCTCTAAATTCACTGTCTAATGCTGCAACTGCATCCTGGCTGCACGTGCGTGCTATTTTTTTACTTTCCTTACCTGAGCAAGAGTCCCCTTGTCTTAAGTACTATCATTTTATAACCTTTATTTTTTTATTTGCCTTCATTATTCATTAAATTACTACCGTGTTTCCCGAAAATAAGACAGGGTCTTATATTAATTTTTGCTCCAAAAACAAACAAACAAACAAAACACACACACCCACACACACACACACACACACATTAGGGCTTATTTTCTGGGGATGTTTTTTTTTTCATGTACAACCATCTATGTTTATTCAAATACATTTGTATCATCTTCCTCTGGTTGCTGCACAAGGGTGGAGGGCAGGGTTTCACTTAACTATGGCTTATTTTGGGGGTCGGGCTTATATTACGAACATCCTGAAAAATCATACTAGGGCTTATTTTCAGGTTAGGTCTTATTTCAGAGAAACAGGGTATTCATATTGTTAAACACTTTCTATGCCACCAAACAGCATCACCTGTAACAGGCTGTTGTCCTTTCCCTGTCAACATTGTGCAAACAAGATTCATGCATCCAATTTATCTAATGTGATGTTCAAACAGAAGTCAAATTTCAACTGCCAGAAATCACCTCTTAAGCTCACCAGAGTAAAATTCAATATATCACACATGCCCAAATGTGGCAGCCAGAAGAGCCAAAAGCAGCACATGGAAGGTGCTCAAAGAAATTAGTAACTCAGACAACTAACAAATTAGTAACTGATGGACCACTAACAAAATTGCTACATAAAATGGTAAGCTAAGAGCAATTTTTCCTTCCTGTGCTGTGACTCAGGGCTACAGTGCACACAACATTAAATATACATCTTGAAGCCCATCTCAATTTCTTTCTTACTCAAAAAGAAGTGTTTGTGGGCCAAGTCCAAATCAGCATCACTGTGTATTAGCACAGAAGGCTCAAATTTTTCAGCTGTCCTTAGCTATAGAAATATGAATTCACCCCACAAAGTGCAGGAGTTAACTAGAGGTTCCCTTGCCTCTCATTTTCCTATCTGCACATCATTGTCTCAGTCTAGATTCTGCCCACATACGCTCACTTTGGAGTAAGAAAGAAACCATATCATAGCTTAAGTAGCCAGCTTAAAGATATAAATGGAAGGAAACTTCCTATGTCTATGACTCCCTGGAAAGATGAATTGAAAAGGCAGATGACTCTTCCTGAGCAGGAAGGATGAGATGGGCTGCTGGATAACTCAGGATCACATTTTCCATGTAGAACCAGGCACAGCCTGTGGGCATCATGTGAGCCCACCACAAGAGAATTTTGTGCCATCCCCTCAGACTACCCAAATATTCCTCTTAAGAAAGCACTGTGGCTCTCAGAAGCTTTCCCTGCTTATTCTAACATATGATCTGTTACTTACTCTGACTGGCTTGTGCTTCATTCCTCCAGACAGAACTAAAAAAGAGATGGAGAAGAGAAAATATGGACTATCATCATTTATCTTTAAAGTATTCCATAGTGATAGAAACTAGAGATTCAAGTGAATAATTGTTATCCAATCGATTACTGCTTTTGAATGTGTAAGGTCTGAAGGCACGGAGAACTCTATCAGAGCCAGACCTGTCAAAATATATGCTTCTACTTCACAAGAAAGAACCACTGTCATACTTTTAGTCACTACTGGTGAATATCAGCAGTGATGGGAATCTAAGTAAGCCACTCCCAATAGGGGCCATATGGCCCACTAGGGAAGGCCCAGGATCATTTGAAAAGGACCACAGTCTGGATACAACTCTTCACATACCACTTTATAAGGTTTCTTATGCGACTTATACATTCCTGATTCAGCCCATATTTCTTTCATACTGTGTTCGTGGTCAAAAAAGGGTTGAATATGGCTAATCTAAGTGATGGTGCAGCCTTAGGTGGTTTAACATAGCTCCTCAACTTTGGGAGATGGACAAATTCTGGTGTAACTTCAGAAAACTAACACTTACACATTTTCCAGAATGATTTTGGTCAGAAGATTTTTAAGGTTCTGGTGAAATCCTTCTGGGAAGAGGGAAAGAATTTCTTCTGGAGATGTCAAGCCATGGTAAACTGTGTGCCTTGTTAGGTTATGCAGAGAACAAATTAACTGTAAGAGTAAAGTACCAGATGAAGGTCTTTGTATTATTTTCAGTCATGTAGTTTGTTTAAACTTGCACCCCACCCATTTAGTGGGCAAGCTGCTACTCTGGGTGGCTTCCAAAAACAAGAATACATAAACAGAGTTTTAAAAATGAACATATAAAAACAATTCCCCTCATAAAAACTCCAGACTGAGAAGCATCCAAGACTCAGAATGGTGAACCATGGGCTAGCATATACTTACTACAAAATAATTTTACAAAGGGGTGAGGCTTGTAAAGGCCTGGGTTAAAAGCCAGGTTTTAACTTGCTTTTGAAAGCTCAGGAGGGTGAGGGGCAATCCCACCTTGCAGGAAATGGGGGTAGCCACTGGCCAACAAAACATTCCACCTCACCCAGCCTCTCAGGCACTGTCATATATAAGCACTATTTTGTCAAATCCATATCTGACCAGCTCCCCTTCTGGTTCCTGTCCCCTTATCCTGAATCAGACTTATTTTAAAAGCACCATCCCAAGTACGTTTACTCAGATGTAAACCACACAGATTTAAATGGGGTAATACAAATATATCCAACTGCAGTAAATAGGAATATGACTGCAGACTAAATCTGAAAAGCCCTCTGTTTCTTACCTGATTTGCTTCATTTGGTGTAACTGAAAGACTGGAACAAATGCTCTCAATCAATTTTTCTGAGCCACTTACTGAACTAGAAAAGCACTCCTGGCATAACTGTCGAACAAAATCTTTTGATGAAGCCTAGAAAAGAAAAACAAAAAAAGACCCCTTTCAAAACACAAGATGTGACCATAGCCACTAGCTTTGATTCATTTTAGATAAATTATTAGGAAATGGATCTGTAAAATTGCCAGTAGCCATAGCAATGAAACATACGTAATTTCCATCTACAGAGGTAATATCATTATCAGATTATGAGAACAAAAACACAGGAAAGATTCAGTTTCCAGTTATGCTGTGGTCTCTGCTTTCTTCTTTCTTCTTCTTTTTTTTTGGGGTGGGGGATATGGATCACACTTAACAAGTAATTTAGGCTTGTAACCCTCCTCCAAAAATCTATCAGAAGTTCTACTGTATGCTGGGGGGGGGGGCGCAACTTACTTTTAAGCACATGACTGCATCTACATATAATACCAATATGTTGACTATATATTCTATATAAATATTAATGGCAGAATTAGCATCAATTAAAGAAAACGACGGAAATGATTATATAATTCTAATTAAGAGTATTATTTTGAAGAAAAAAGAAAGTAATCTTACGTTATCAAGTTAACCTCAAATAATTTGAAATCTGGGTTCCAGCGCTACCTTTAAACTAAAAATAAACAGAAGTACTACTACTTCTTTAAATAGTCTCGAATATACTGCTTCCAAAACAAGGGTTTGTCTTGTTTTAATTCCCTTCTATAGTTTCGCCTTGTTTTCAATCATGCCTTTTACATTTTGAGCCTTACCAAGAACTACCATGTTTTTGATGCTCTCACGTCCAAATGTTTTCAATTAGAAGCTTCTTTTTTAGTTCCGTCTAAACCACACAGCTTCTAAGAAGCTAAACAGAGTGCAGCATTTTCAAATTAGAAGTACTACATATGGACGCTTAATACACGCTCTCCTTTGCCACTTCTCACTCCAAAGTACAGTATGTGTCACCATTAAAAACAGTCAGGGCTGGGAGACTTTGCAGACGATACTGTCCCAAACTCAAAATATACCTGCTTACTTTGAGCAAGATTTGCAGAGCGGCAAACTGTTCCTCATCCATCGCAGCCATATTGCCTCTGTCATGTGACTAGCTACAAGTCCCCTCGAAAGAGAATCGATTCAGTCACATGCTAACATATTAACCTGCGTTGCATTCTGGGGGATGTAGTCTTATTGCATGTGATGAAAGAGGAAGTCTTGGATGGCTGTGTAAGAGTTTGAGTAAAACTTTTCAGCTTGTATGATTTGAGACTACGGTATCAGCTGTATTTTTTAAATAGAATTATTTCCCGTTAACCGTCGTATGTGCAGTATTGTGCAGGGCTGGACTTCAAGATGCTTAAGACTTTTTTTTTCACTACCACTCCAGTTGTGTACAAATGCATATATGCAGCTTTATTTGTGCAGCATACGCAAAATGCATATTTGTGCAGTGCCTGGAAAATTCGTGTAGTATGACTGAATGAAAGAAGAGGCTGCAGGAATCTACAGTTCATAGATTTTTTTTCCACCCAACAAATAAAAAGTTCGAAAAAGTAAAGGCTGTGGCAAATGTATACACCGTTTATGGGCTGCAAATGAATAAACGGGTTAAGATATTGGCAGAGAGAGCAAGAAAAATGTTGATAAGGCGAGCAGCCTTATCCGATGAAACCACAACTACTATAGGGAAGGTAGAGTTTGTTGGGTCCGTTCTCTAGAAAACTTCATTGGTTCCTAAACTGGGAGAACTCCACCCCCCTTAATGGGATGAGTGAAGAAATTCCAAGCAAAATTGGGAAAGTTTGAACTACACCAGCACGTTTCTCGTTGTATTTGTTTTGCTTCTGATTTTTCTTGAGGTATATTGCATTTATTAACTTTTTAAATAACAAAAACAAATTCTGTTTATTTTTAGTTGCAGCAAGTATTCTGTTAAGTTTATTTTCACTTCTAAGTTATAAACTAAATAACTATTTAGAAGGGGTTGGATAATGACCCCAGAGAAGTGAGGAGCCATGAAGGTGCCTCAGAAATTAAGTTAGCTGCTCTCTATAAAGAAACACACACCCAACGTTACACCTTTCAGGAATCACTGGTGCAGTTTCCTTTTTGTACAGGAAGCAGTCTTGAGACAAGCTGGAAGATAGGCTCTGCTCCAGGCGAGTAAAATGCGAGTATGTGTCTGTGGGTGGAACTCCCAGGCTTCTGGCTGGAGAATTCTGGGAGTTAGAGTAGGAAAAATCCACTGTGGCAGAAGTTCCCATCCTTGGGTAACCCAGATGTTCTTGGACTGCAACTTCCAGAAGTCACAGTCAGCACAGCTAGTGGTGAAAGCTTCTGGGAATTGTAGTCCAAAAAACATCTGGGTTCTCCAAGGCTGGGAACCACTGCATTATGGCAAATCCTTGTTAACCTGGGCCAGGTGTGTATACCAGGTTTCCATATGGTGAACAAAGCAAGATCTGATGAGCTGGGTTGATGGAGGAGTAGAGGCGATTTACTTATAGTCTAGCTATCTCCAAGATTTGAGAGTGTAAGTCTAGTGACAAGGGAATGAGACAGTACTGGGATTCTATTAATGTACTGCTCACAGCACTGCCCAACTTCCTGCTTCAGGTGGTGTAATATCCCCAAACTAATTTCAACATTAGTTCTGAGTCTTCCCCACCACCCTAAGGAGCAGGCAGGAATTAAGTGACAGCCATGGGCCTACATATGTGGCTGGTCATATTCTGCATCTGATTTTTTGCCAGCCAGGATGAGGTTATTACTTCCAATTATGTAGTTTATTTCATTTGCATATTTGCTCTCTGGTGTTGTCCATGTGTACAACTATCTGTTTGGTTATTTGAGGTACATATTTTAAATAAACAGTTTATTAGTGGAACAGTATTACATGAGTCATTCTCCTGCTTCATTGCTGAGACCGAGGCAAGATTTTCCAATGTTCGGTTGTACCTAATTTTACATTCCAGTCACCTATCATTATCAATATGTCTTGTTTTGATGTGTGACCAATTCTTTCAGTACACTTGCTTAAAAGCTTTCTTCTTCAGCATCATTAGTTCTATCATAGACTTGAATTATGGTTATGTTGGTAGGTTTTCTGAGACACCTGATAGATATTATTCAATTAGATTTTGTATTCTAGCCCCCAAACTACTTTTTGCTACATCTTGCCTAGATATTAGAGACATGCCGTGTCTTTTGATTTTCCCATTGCCAGAGTAAAATGCCTTGTATTTCTCTGATTTAAATGTCCTCCATTAGTCCACTTTGGTTTGCTGCGAACAAGCACTGTCCTGTTTAAATTATCCATTTCTTGCTTTATTGGTTCCAGCTTCCCTTGATTCTTACTTCTCACATTCCACTTTCCAGTTATATGTGTTGTGCAGCATTGGACTTCCCTTTTACCTCTGTGCACATCAGCCACTAGATGTCCTTTTTAATTTTACTCTAGTTGTTTACTGCTTACTTTTTTGACTTTGGCATCTCAACCTCTAGCACAACCCCTTGTTTCACTCTGGATTGTCTCATATGATTTTCAAGATAATACATATTCAGGAATGGTTGATCATTGCTTCCTTCTGCACAGTAGGAGTTAGCTTGAGTGTCATTGCTGTTGTCAGTGAAAGATCCTCCACTACAGTCATCTTCTACTACTGCTGTTAGCCAGTAGCTGTCCTCCAGGACTTCCTCTACTGCATCACCACTGACATCAACCGTTCTCTTCTGCTGATATGAGTGTAATTTAAAAGAGGGTCTTTTTCTTATGCATCTTATTCTGGTTTCTTTGCTTTTACCACTCTGCCTTGGGTTTCCCTGCTAGGAGTCCCAACTTCTAATAGAGTCTAGTCTCATGACAGCACCGCTCTCAACTTCTCAGACAAACTTAAAACCTGTCATCAGGTTAAAAGTACTGTATTTTTCTGTGTATAAAACGACACTTTTCCCTAAAATAATTAGAGGAAAAATTGAGGGTTGTTTTATACACGGTAGTGGAGGGTGAGGAATCAAAGCACTTCAATCCCTGCTTTCCCCTCCACTTTTTGCAAAGGAGGTGTAGGGGAAAAGCAGCTTTTTGCAAAGAAAGTGGAGGGGGAAAGTGGAATCAAAGTGCTTTGATACCTGCCTTCCTCAAAGAAAGAAATTTTGGGTTAGAAAAGTGGGAGTGTCTTATACATGGGGGTGTCTTATGCATGGAAAAATATGATATGCACCCAAATGGAGTGGTACCTTGTTCAAAAAGGGGTTGCAGACTATGTGAATCAACCCAAACTCCTTTTCTAGATGATTTGACAGAATTGTTTCCTGCATAGTTGGGTAAAGAGTCAATTTGCAAAGAGTATCCTAAGGCTGACAGTTAAAAATCTGCTGCTCCAGGTCTTAATTACTGCTGCATAGGAGAGCAGCAATAGAAATTGTGGAGCAGAGTGAATCAACATTCTACAGTTGTAAAAACAATCAAACAAATATAACTTTGAAAGCAGACTTTGGATTGACATCAAATTTGGCACACATATAGCAGGCAGCCTGATATTGTTCTTTGTCAAATATGAGGATGTTTGGCAAAGGGTTTTTGAGTCATCTGTTTTTAGAAGTAAAACTGTTCCCGCCCTCCTGTCCCTGCAGACACAAGCAACCTTTTTTCCTGCAGAATCAAAACATGTCAGATAAATTCACACCTGTTGAAAAACAGCCCTGATAATTGCTTTGTGTTTGGGAGAGAAGTGGTTGATTAATGAAAAGTCAGCTTCTGGTTTAGTCAACTTCTGAGATTTCCCTTGTGTGGTGTCATTTTATGAATGCTGTCTTTTATGAATGGTATCCGCAAGAGGGTATCCTGTAGACCAGTGGTCCCCCACCTTGGGCCCCCAGATGTTCTTGGACTACAACTCCCAGACGCCTTCACCACCACCTCTGCTGACCAGGATTTCTGGGAGCTGAAGTCCAAGAACATCTGGAGGCCCAAGGTTGGGGACCACTGCTGTAGACTATCTTGACTGCTGCCATTGGTGTTGACAGCATTCAGGCTGCCCTTTGCAATCTAAATCTTCACATCTTTTTTCCTGCTGGTTACAGGGGCACAATATTGTGCAGCAATATAGGGCCATTTCCTGGCATTTTGAATTATGGGTAGAGGTAAAGGTAAAGGTTCCCCTTGACATTTTCAGTCCAGTCGTGTCCGACTTTAGGGGGCGGCGCTCATCCTGCTGTTCAAGCCATAGAGCCAGCACCTGTCCGAAGACAGTTTTCCATTGTCACTTGGCCATCCTGACTAGGGAATGCCATTTTACCTTCCCACCGAGGTGGTACCTATTTATCTACTCACATTTACATGCTTTCGAACTGCTAGGTTGGTGAGGAGCTGGGACAAAGCGACGGGAGCTCACTTCATCGCGTGGATTCAATCTTATGACTGCTGGTCTTCTGAGCCTGCAGCACAGGCTTCTGCGGTTTAGCCCGCAGCGCCACCACGTCCCTACAGAAGCACAATATCCCACATTCATAAATTGGAGGGTTTTTTAAAAAGAATTGAATATCTACAACAGGAGAAAATTCTCCATATACAATACGTTTTTATTTATGTCTTATTTTTATGATCAAACCCATCTATCTCTGCCGTATTTATCATGCACACACTATCTTACATATTGCATATTCCTAAGTATTCTATATATTTTGTATATATGTGTATGTCTCTTTTAAAACCTGAAAATTCTAGTTTGTTTGCACCTCCTCCTGAAACAAATCAAATAATTCTGCCTGGCAAACATGCAAATACTGCTTGTGTTGCATTAGAAACAGGGTCTCACCTAAGGAGTTGGGCATCTGTTTTCAGAAGAATTGTTTTACATTCAACACACAGGGGTGGGAATAGAATTTCTCCACTACCTTTTTTTTTTTCAAATGAGTAGTGTAAAGGGGATTTCCTAGAGAGCTTTTTGAAAGTATCCTATTACCATCTGTGGCCTCTTGAAATTAATTAAGATTGATCAGCGGAGAAGAGGGATGCTTTGTGTGAATTCCTTGAAAACATTAAAGAGACTTTAAATGTTCAGATGGTTTAGCTAGTTTTCGGAGACAGAGGAAGCAAACCTTTTTGTACATACTCATTTGTCATG